CTCATGGAATCTTCCTTTACTTAGCTCCTGAGGCCAATGATTATGATTCATTAGCTGATATAGCTTTCTCTTGAGCTGAAGATCTGAGGCTGCAAAGCAAAAGGATTGCTGAGAACAATTACAAAGCACCTGAGAAAGGAAGCTGAATACAATCTATGAAAGGAACATTAATACTACAATCAATTACAAAAAGGAATTCTCACAGGAATCCAGATTTGTTTTGGTGATAGTTTATTGTAGAGGATCCCCTGTTTGTTTGAGGTAGGGGGGCCCTATTTACTAATCAGGATCCAACATTATCAGGCGCGAAAGATTCGTGAAAGATTGTGCGACCTTTTCATGCGCGAAAGCTTGCGAAACTTGGGAAAGCTAGCAAAAGCCTGCGAAATCAGTTCCGTCCACGAAAGCTTGCGAAAGTGTTTTTGCACAGAATGCAGCGTGCGAAAGCCAAAACGCAAGCCGTGTTGCCAAAAGAAGAACAAATTCTCGATAGATGTTGAGCAACGCTCAATTGTTTTGGTTCAAAAAGATAAAGTAAATTCCATTGGCCTGCATCTCTCATGTAAAGGCACTCCGATATTTGTAGTGTTCATCTACTTAATCTAGGAAAACACACTTTTCCCTCACTGCAACAACAATTCCTGTAATCTCACTTTCTTGTTACTGTATCATGCTTGCACATTGACATTGACTACTTCCCAAAACGAGAGACGAGACAAGCTGGATATGACAAATTGGTCAGGGCCTCTGAATCATGAGAAGTAAAAGTGGTCAGCAAATTCACGCTCTTACCGTACCGTACAGACATGCCAAGGTCTAATTTTGTTCGAAAGTTTTTTCCCTGAATTGGCTGCAGCAACTATGAGACCGCACGTCCGTGCCAAATGGCAAGGGGCAGAGAGCCAACTCTGCAGATTGTGCTTGGCAAGGACAGTCCGTGGTGGACTTGCAGAAATAGGGACAGCAGAGGAGGAGACTTTATAGGGCTAGACCATGCGAAACGTGTTCCTTGATTCTCTACTCAAACATGTCAATTACACCTTCCTGATGAACGTTGGTCTTTTTCAAAAGATTCCAATTTCAATCGATTAAGATAGATGTTAAAAGCACCTATTTGGACAAAGTATAGCATTGGGATTTGTTTAAACAGCAATGAAACAGATGATGACCAATGCTTTGGTTTGGGAGGGCAGTGACAATTGAGAGTGGCGTCCGAGGCGGCTGTGCCTAAGGTAGTGCCGAAGGCGTGCATTGGGACTGGGGAGTGTGGAATTAGTCATCCGTGTCATTTGTGCAAAAAGTCGCTTCCCCGACAGTATTGCACATGCAGATACAAAAAAATGTTTAAACTGACTCAGCGAGGCGGCAACATGTAGGAGAATCTGCAGGTGTAGAGCAGCAAACATTGCAGAAAAGTGCCACACACACAGTACAAGCGCAGAGATATTGTCGTTGGTTCTGACCACTGACCACCTTGTACTTGAAGTTGAGTTAGAGGTGTGAGTGTGCAAGGCCGCAATAGGGGAGCGGTGTGAGAGCATATGAGGTGATTGGAATCAATCTCCACGCGAACGCAGGATGCTGGAGACATTGTTTAATTTGACATCTCGGTGTGCTTTATGTTCAAATCCAAAGCAGTAAGAAGTGGGATAATTTAGAAAAACAACTTGCTAAATCAAAGAGGGCTGTCAACAAGCAAAAATCTGATTCAACAAAGGAATTCAGGGACTTCATTGGTGTGACCACAATGACAAGATCCGGAAGTTACCTGCAACAATGCAGACTCGCAAGAATGAACATCCTTGAAATCGTCCAGTAAAAGCCGTTTCAGCCGTTCTAGAAACAATCCTTGATTCGAAAACTATACGTGCTGCACTTTGGAAACTATGCTGAGTGAGAATATATTGCGAAACTATTCCGAAACATAGTTTGGACAACGTATTTGTTGGATTCCAACCAACAATTGAAATGACCAAATATGACTGATCAAGCTGCTTTCTTCATTCCTGTCCCAACATAATGATAGGCATTGCATACCTCACATCTAGGCCAGCCAACCAGGCCAGGAGCTACTAGTATAGCGTCCTTGCTCCTAGTAGCGATGCCCTTTGTTACTAGTAGCTTCTTGTTTCTCCAGAAAAGCTTTGAACCAATTGCTGACAGGGAACAGTTGTGGCACAAAGCGGGACTGTGGGCCAGGCACGCGAGCGGGCTGTTTGGAAGCGCAACACATTCATCAACGTTTTATTCGGGCCTCCTCAAAGCACACAGTCTAATTGAGTTTAGTGACAAATGACTTCCACTGCTCACATTGAGTTAGTCACCAATTGATTCTTTGTGAATGAGTTGTTGCGACAGATGGCTCATAAGAGGATATCCAGGATATCCCATGCAAGAATGGGGCCAACAGGAAGACGCAGAGTTGGCTAAGAGCCTGGAGTCAGTTGAGGTGTGCCAAAGCATATCGACCGTGTGCTTGTGCGCCAGACTTTCCCACATGCACAAACACACATACACACTGCGGGAAAGAGTCTTCGGAAAAGGCTGGGATAGCCTGGTTATATAGACCATGTGGAGACCTATAGTCAAGATCGCCGTACCCTTTAAGTACAGAGCCCCAATGCACAATTGCCCACCTACCTCCACCTGCACCAGCCTGGTCAATCCAGAGGAGATTGTATCACAATCGTACGTTGAAGTGGCCAACTCCGATATCATTAGATCAATTTGTGTCTTGGCTTGCAGTGGTCTCAAGTGATTTGCCGCTACCCCTGCTGATCTTTTTAAATTCGCTTCCTGACAGATGGTAAGCTGCAAACCTGTGAGTCCAGGGTGGTCACACACTCACATGGCACTGCAGGAGTTCTTCGTGATCAAGAAGGGTGCTTTTCACGCGATCGCTCTGAGCTCAGACCAGTTTTCTCTCTCCTCGCATGCTCTTGGAGGTAAGGACCATGGAGATGCAGTAGGTCCGGGTAATTCCTTTTTATGTAATAAGTGACAAACCTGCCAGTTGCCTGACTGAGGCAGAGCCCAACGAAACCGAGGGGCAGAAATCAGCAGAAGCCACAGTGGCACAGCTCACCATGTCGGAGCGAAGCGGATTGAGACGAGAGTCAGAAGCGGCCAGTTTAGCTCCTAGTAGCGTCCTTGTTCCTAGTAGTAAGGTAGTAAGGCCAGGAGCCCCTAGTAGCGTCCTTGCTCTTAGTAGCGAGGCCAGGAGCCCCTAATAGCTTCTTGTTCCTAGTAGTAGCTGGGGAAGACTTGCAAGGCCAATCACTGTAAGCAAACGCTTAGAATGGCTTGCCCATACGCAAAAGTGGACGCGGCCAAGTGATAGGAACCATGCGCTTCAAAAAGGGATACTTCCATCATCAAGGTTTGCTTTTTCCGGAAGAGACATATTTATACACGAAGGCCGAAGGCGGTACCATATACTGCCCTGTTTGATGCTCGTCTTGTGAGACGGATCCTTGTACCGCAGGAAAGATTGAAGCGCAAACAGAACTTCCTGAAAAGCTTGCACCTTTGACTGAAAATGGCTTGTAGACGGAAGGAATATATATATATATAACTCCAAATGTGGAGGCTCCTAGCTGGTCCTGACCGATGCTCCAGGGTCCATATCCATCTTTTCCTGCTGTGTCGGCAGGTTTTTGCTTCGGGATTCACGGTACACTTTGACACGACAAACAAACAGCCGAGAATTGCCTTGGTTCGGTGCTTCACTCAGGAGTTCCCGTAAAGGCTCTCAGCCTGCGAGGCGGCAAATGGGACCAACTCGAATGAAGTCCTTCAGCCGTACTAGGAGCTTCTAGGAGAAGGAGAAGGAAAAGGAAAGGACATGGACGCACAAGAACACAAAAACACGGAAGGGCTCCTTAAATAAGGTTCCCTTCCAAGAATTGTCTGCAAGTGGATTTTGGTAACTCAACTGATGTGGACACTTACTGTATCATTTCAAGCAATCCTTGATGCCTTTGCAAGCCACAAGGACCGCAAGGAGCCCTAATTTGTAAACTCTTGTGGCCGTTCACCACTTCAGATCACAGCACTATGGGTTCACCCCACAGGAAACTCCTGCAACGTTTCTGATGTCCAGGGTCCACCACACTCAGTCTCTCCGGGTGGCATCTACGCCTCGTGGCCCAAAGGCCAGGCTTTGGCAAGCAGCACTCCACTACCAGAATTATCTGAACATGAAGCGTCTTTAGAACTGGAAAATATCTCCATGCTCAACGCTTGATTCATGCCCTTTGGTTAGTAGGACAATGTCAATTTCATCAGACCAGCTGCTTTTGAAATTTGTGCTAGAGGCTATGTCAGATTGGGCTGACGACTTCTCCCCGAACACCGTGTGGGCACTCAGGACTCAGCAGTGGCAGATGTATAAGGCTCCCCTGAGGTTTCAACACTTGCTACAACTTGCATTTTGCCAAACCAAACGAAGATGCAGACCATACGTTGTCGTGATGCTTCGGGGTCCACTCAAAAGTCTTTCAGGGCCTCACTGGATGGATGACACCGACCGCGATGGCGGACGGCTGGAGGCCACAGAAACCAGGGGTGCTTCCACACAGTGCTCTTTGTTGCTGCAACTCTGAGAACTTGATTGTGAAGTGCAATCTGAGATGAATCAAGAATCCCATGAGAAACAGAGCCAACAAGCAGGATTTGGAGAATCCCTGTGCAGACAGACAATCCAAAGCAAGTCCGACAGATGATAGGGACACATTTATTCAAGACAGCTACCAGGCCCAAGTTCGGTGTTCAGTTGACCATGGATTGCTTTTTTGGTGCAAGAACAGAGCTACTAGCAACAAAAGGCATCGCTACAAGGAGCAACAAGAAGCTACTATGGGCATCGACTGCGGTCAGGACACCCTGTAGCACTGTGGCATCGCGTGGAGACCTGCAGCTATTGGCTTTCCAGGTGAATCGCAGCAACTTCCTGCTGTGTGAGGAATGCCTGTTTCTTTGGATGGTGTTTACCCGCTTCAAAGCAGATCCAATTTCGCATTTGTGTGTGGACGCCTTTGTTCCATTTCATTGGTGCAGGTTGGAGACAGGGTGAAGATGCAGCCTGAAAAGGCCCTCAACGGACAGTTTCATGCTGTGACATCGGTTTGCACTAATGCAACAGCGTACTTGCAGCTGGATTTTCATGGCCTGCAAAAAGATGACATTGTAGCTTGAACCTTTGCGCCGCAGTCCACTACAGGGACCACATCAAGGTTTCTTGATTAATGTGAAGCAATGGAGTAGTGAGTAGTTATAGTTGAGAGGTTGGATATTTTTTTCCTCAACGTTTCACTACCAGGGCGAGAAGAATGGCAGCATTGGAACTGCTTTGCACCCAGAAGTTCATAGAAATCCAGCATGAGCTTGCAGCATTCAAAATGGTCATCAACACATCACCCACCATGAACGTATCGGTTCAGAGCGTGTTGTTGAGACTCTGCCAAGCTGCAGTGGTTCTCTCTGTCATGAAGAACTCCAATCCAGGATGCCCATTTTTGCTGAAATGGTCCCGCAATTTGCTTCGAATCCGGTTTTTACAAAACTATATATACATATTATAAATTATATATAATGTACGTATCCTTCAAAAACTCTTTAGGAGACGTTCACCGTCATCGTCCTGATGAGTTTGTGCAATTTTTTTTGTTTCGCGTGCTGCGCTACAGTTTGGAAAGTCGCAGCATTCTTCATTTAGAACATCCATCACCGAAGATTCGGCCTCTTGGGTTTCAGAACAAACAGCTAGATGCTTCTTTGGTTTGCTCATTCATGGCATGGAGCAGGTCACCCCTGGATATTCAACCGGACAAAGATCAAATGATGGCCAAAGTGTTTTCACTCGCACTTCAGGTGACTGAATGTGGGCGTGACTGTGCAGGACGTTATTTTGTCAAGGCAATTTTTGGTGCTGAAAAGGCTAGGATGTGCACACATGTTATGAAAAATGATCCTCATGCTGACTTGATACGACCATTCGCGCTTCGCACTTCCTTGAACTGGGTGGAGCTGTAGATCTTCACAGTGCGGAACACCTGCAGGTAGCCTTTCCAGATGAACCCAGCGAGTGGTTGGCTGGGAGCCAAGACCGCAGTCTGAACAAATTTTCGTTAGAGAAAGGTTTGTTTTTGTTTCATGTAAAACATGACGCACCTTTCCATTTTTGCATCTTTTTGTATGCAAAAGCTTGCTGTGGGAAACCCCTGGTTGTGATGGGTCACTGTTGCCCTTGCCGAAGCACTTTTTGTATCGAACACCGCAGCCTCCTGCCATGACCATGACCAAGACGCGTGCCATGAGGGGCCTTGCGCCTCGGTCAAATTGGCGAGGAACGGTATAGGAATGAACAATCGTGGAATACGTTGTTGTTTCTTTTCATGTTATTCCTTAATTTTTTCAATATTGCTTTGACGAGCTTGAAGCGATCAGTGCAATTGCAAGCAGTTTGATACACTAACAATAAACATATCAATGTTTGGGTCTGTGTGATGACATGCGCCAGAATTGTTCAAGTGTGATCACACTGCAGTCAGGACATATTATATAGTTTGACCGTGACAGTGTCGGAAGACTGAAATCTTGGCATCACTGGTTTAGCTTTCATCTCAGGCCGTCCTTGCTGCTGGGGCTTTGGCTGCTTGCGCATTCGTCGGGCCACAGGCGTCAAAGGACAACAGGGAAAACAGGAAACCTCAGCTTGTTCACTGTTCAATTGGAAGCCATTGAGAAACCCAGCACAAGTGAACGCGGAGCTGGCCGTATGCTAAAACTCATGCGCTTACGTTGCTTTGGATCGTATTGCAGTGCACTTGCATCCCTGACCGCATTACATTACACCACACCACAGACCGCATCACATTAATCGATCAATGTGGTTCATGCTACGTTGTTTGTCCATGTCCATGTCAACCAGTTGCTTCCAATGTGGTATTTGCAGGCTGGCAGGCTAGGTCTAGGCTACCAAGATTCCCCGCAAGACCAACATCGCTTTGGAGACCATTCTGCCTTGTATGACATGAGGTGATTACAAAAAGCTGCTTGTTGAGTAGTGTTGCTAGTTGCAAGGAGAGACAAGCAACACAGAGCAACATAGCCATACTACCATCCTGTGACACGTCAGCATCCTGTTGGGCTGCACATGTTTCAAGCTAGAAACTGGATGTAGAGGACTTCACGTGGCAAACAACGAGTTCACAAAGACCATGGCAGTTCAAGAGTCTCAAGAGCTTTGCACAAGAAATCTTGACATTCACGCGAGGAACAATCCGGGTGCACAAATATAGAGAAGAGAACATATTAAGAATAAACCAGATTTCAAAAGATAATGCTAGTACAATGAAGCAGATGTACTTTAGAGGCTTTGCAGACCCGTGAGGCGCCCTTGGTCTCCCGGGGAGACCTTAGCACCATGCGTGCCGCTGGCGAGTACACCGGCTTCGTGCCAGACATGCAGTCCCTTTGGCTTTGAATCAGACCAAACCAAAGAAAGATAATTTTGTATCCTGATGAAACGGTTGGGCATTTTTGGCCACTCTAGTCTGCAGGCGCCGACAGCTCATGAACTTTGTGCTGGTGACCACAGCTGGCATCCCTGTCCTGGTGGCCTTGGGCTGCTACCTTTGGTACTTCGTGCCTCCTGTGTCAGGTGGTGGCGGAGGAGCACAGCTTGCTGGAGACGTGGATGGCAATCCTGTCGCCCTGGAGTCTTGGGTGAAGAGCCACAAGGACAACGACCGTGAGCTGGTGCAGGGACTGAAGGGTGAGCCCTACTACCTCATCTCCACCCCAGACAACATCAAGGACTTTGCGCTTCTGTCCGTGTGCACTCACCTTGGCTGCGTGGTGCCTTGGAACAAGGCTGCCAACAAGTTCTGCTGCCCTTGCCACGGATCCCAGTACGATGAGAATGGCAAGGTTGTACGTGGCCCTGCTCCACTTTCCTTGGCCTTGGCTCACACCACTACCCTGAACGGCAACTTGGCATTGAGCCCTTGGACTGAGCAGGACTTCCGCACCGGCGAGGACCCTTGGTGGAAGTGAGTAGATAAGACATGCTTCGCTAGTTGCCACGGGCAACTGGATTGATTCAGCAAGAGCCCCGTAAAGCTGTTTTCCATTTTTCCACGGTGCTAGTCCACTAATCTGCTTGTGTGTATGTGTGTGCGTGTGTGCAGTTCACGGTTTAATCTGCTTCTGTGCTTTGTTCTATTCTGAGATCGTGTTCATTTGGCGCGAAGCGAAGTGCTTTGACGGACCACTGCTGGATACAAAAATGTGGTGCAACAAGATGTGGAGCGAACCATTGAACTGCATTATTTTGCTGGACATGAACGCTCAAAAAGGTGTTGAGGATGGCAAATTGGTCAATTGCCATATACTGGTAGCAAAGCTACTAGGAGCAAGGACGCTACTAGGGGCTCCTGGCATCGGTACTAGGAGCAAGGACGCTACTA